AAGCAAAAAACGAATCTTTTCCCCTATAAAATGAATCACACGAATAGAGGAAAACATGCCCAAACGTCTAAAATCTCGCACTTATCAAGAAAGAATGCGACTCCGTTACGCTGCTCAGGAAGTACAGCATGACTAAATGTTGAGAAATTTGCGCACGACACTTTGAGAGAAAACAGAGCAGCGCACGGTTTACGAATGTAACAAATTTAACTACCTTATCTTTCCACATAACTAGATATTGCCCATAGGTTTATTAAAGCAAGGAAAAACGCCGAATTAATAACTTGATATTAAAGAATTCAGTTCTAATAAAGACTGGATAAACATTTTGAAACACAGCTACGCTAAAACTACTTACCAGACCCTCTCTTTCGTCCATTATTCTGAGTCTTCGGTTGAATAGGACGCTGACGGTTATGTTGAGGCGTCGGGGTTTGCCTTGTAGACGGAGTGCTAAGTATTTGTTGAACCAGTGAACCCGATGCATTGCTGCTGCCTCCGGATGGAGCCTGCTGCTGATGTGAAGTTGACATCACCTGCTGAGGTGGCGCATCAGATACAGCCTGAACAGTCAAATCGGCATCGCAAAAAGGATAATGGTAAAGCTGTATTGATGCGAACTGGTCATCCATTTGTTCTGCAAATTTGAAGAGCAAAGCTCAAACAAAACTTTGAATTGAAATTGTAGAGTCGAAAAACCACGAATGTCAAAAATTAAAGCGCTCTATTGTTCAGAGAAATCATGGACGAAGTGACGCGAGGTAAAAACCTGGTCTTTGGAATATATAATACAAAAAAGGAAACGGTGTGGTGAACTCCTAAAAGAAGTGAAAGAAAGTAAAATTCATTAAAATCATATCATTATACTGAGAACTTTTCAGTAACTGTGGCGTACGCGCATTCAAAAACTATGGATTCATATCTATGTGAAATATAAGAAGAGCATTGAAAGCTCATATTCGCATAATACCAGGCGAACTGGATACGCATTATCTTACACCACTGTAAATTGCCAAACGAAAGCGGGTTAAAAAGTAAAAGACAAGGAAAAAGAGGTAGAAAGTGAGAAAAAAGAAAACGAACAAGGAGAGAAATGAGGAAAAAAGAAAACGAACAAGTAGTACCTGAAAATATCCTTGTTGAGGTTGGATAACTTGCTGCTCCATTGTTTGATAATGACCGTTCACAACTACTGAAGGCTGTTCAAAAGAGTTATATGACTCCTCCTAAAGTACCAACATAACGTGACCAACATTTAAAACAAACAATCTGCTACGGTATCCCTTTAAAATTCCTATAAAACATCAAATTTTCCCCAAACCATTCTGAAATGACTATGAGACAAGCTGTGGAGCCATTAAAGATGCAAGACCGTTAAGTAAGAGTGGTCGATAGATAGACATGAAATTTTTTACAGACTACGAACTTCATTGAAGAAATCATGTAATCCGATACCTGCATCACAGAAGCACTAGACATCTCGTATGCCATGTTTTGCAGAGGAGCCATGGACTGATATGACGACGAAACAGGTGACAACCGGGGCGGGTCATTTCCACTTTGGAACTGAGAAAGAATGAAAGTTTATTTCACAAAAAAGAATGACCAGTAAAAGAACTAATAAAAATCAAAGAAATGTTTGAACAAAAAAGTACCCCGAATTCCCGCATGGGAACCGCGAGAGAATTATCACCAAACGAGAAGTCCATAAGATTTTGTGGGGAGACCGCGATAGGTGAAGGTTCTCGCAGAGGCACCTTGCAAATAGAAAACTCAGAAACAGCGAGAACGGAACATCAGGAAGAATATAACACAAACTGTGCAGCCTAATTAATAAAGGTCCACTAAAAAGTGGATAGAAGAAACAACAAAACAGGAAAGCAAAAAAAATAAGTAAAGGCGAAAAATATGTTCAGGAA